TGTTGTTGTTGTTGTTGTTGTTGTTGTTGTTGTTGTTGTTGTTGTTGTTTTCTTCAGTTTTAACATAGTTTTGACATTAATTGACCAGTTGTAGTTTGTTTTGCTTCTCTTGGAGAATGCTTATGGGGCGACGACCAACGCCTTCAAACAAAAACGCTCAACCTCACCGACCTGGCAAGTTGTTTCTTTTTGCCGGTGCCGAGGACACCAACGCCCTGTCGAAAAAATGTTGGAATATATGCCCCGATGAAATAACAAGAACAAACATGGACCCTCAAAACATCTCAAAACCACTGATGCAGCTAGAGGAAAACAGTCTTTGAGGGTGCCCTGCTCAAGCTCCATGTTAGTTTTTTGGGAGTGTATGATGTGCACTTGAAGATGCTTGAAGTGTGTCATAGGCACCGCCGTTTGTCGTGTGTGACTGAACATGTTGGGCACTTGGTATGAAGTACCCAACATGAGCAACTATACCAATACTCTAAACATGTACAGTGTACAGCAACCTCATACAAAGTGTTTTGGTACATTATCTTGTCAGGTTGCCAAGGTGTGCATGCAGCATCGTTTCTTCCTCGCTGGGTGGTCAGTTTGCTTTGCCAATTTTGGACAGACACTTCTCTCTCAAAGAAGTGAAACATAGTGAAACTATGAGCCTTGACACTTGCAAGAGCACTGCCACCCTAAGCAGCTTTATTTCTATACCATAAAACATATTGTTTTAAGATCATAGACCATTGACTTTGACCTCTGCCATATCCCAGTTTGCCTTTCATCTCACGGAACCCACCAGAGACGAAGCCACTCGCAACCACCCTCCAAGACAAGCTGGGCAACCTGGACCGCATCGTGGATCGCTACGAGGGACGGGCCGGGGACGCCCAGCGGTCGGTGCTGCGTGGCGAGCTGAGGGATGGTCTGGACCTTTGGACGGAGCAAACAAACGGTGACAGAAGTTGTTCGGCCAGTTACTCAGCCACTGTCAATTGGTCCGAGATGATTAATTACCACGAGACAGGTGGTAGAGTGTAGAGTGTAGAGGTCATGTATGGAGATAGTTCATCGTGGGAGTTTTTTTTTGCAGGCGGTGTTGCTTTGGACTTGTTGGAGAAGAGGCAGTAAGATCAGTAAGTAGGGAGTGAACAATTTCACTTAGCGGCAGTTCTTTTGTTTGTGTGATAGGAGAACTCATTTGCAGTTGTACTCTTTTGGAGTCTGCGCTGCAGACCACAAGTAGTCCACACATACAGTCTCATGTCATGCAGATTCCATGGGAGTACCTTTGGAGACCTGTAGGGGGCGCCTGGTGCGATCACTGCTGGGACAAGTCCAAGTGTATCTCCATTGGGTGCACCTCGAGTTTCTTCAAGAGGATCGATCCAGTTGATGCACCAGGAGCTAATGAGTTTCCTGATGTATCCAATGAGAGTTTCAGAGAGCTTGCCTTCAAAGAGCATCATTCATGGTCAATCTATTCCAAGAACTTCAAAGTTGTATGGGTACATCCAGGTTTTTTAGTGTGCGGGTGGATGAACCTTTGGTGTTTACTTGGATGCCAAACAGATCCAACCCGATATATATTATATAGTAATATAGACATTAATTAGTCCGGAGAAGCGGGATGCAGTCATAGACGAAGACGGGTTCGTTGCACTGGTCAGGTGGTAGAGCTTTGGGCATCCTTGGGCTTGAAGTGCCCAGTGTGTCGACCAGTCAGACCGGGTCAGAGTCATTTGGATGATTCAAGATGTTCTCACTTGGAGGTCAAAAAGCGAAAGATATTGTGGTGGGTCGGATATGTACTTAAACAGTGGGGTTCCGCAGGCACAGCCGGGCATATTGAGGACGATGAGGAAGTAGCTGTTGATGCCGCATGAACAGCAGGCCTAATATTACAACTATTGGCAGCGAAAAAAGGTGCCTTTAATGACAGCCTCTCTTTTGACTGGACGTCAACCACAACATATGTGACAGCACCTCCAGGTACTCATTGCCTCCCAATGTGGCAGTACAGTTAGCACCTCAGATGTCTCGGCGGACGTTAGCGCTTCTACTATTCAATCTATTGAGAAAGACCCAGACAAGACAAGATCCTTCCTCATCACGCTCGCGTGGGACTAGCAATGTTCATGTACAGCAACGCAACGTTTTGCTTTGGCGCTTGGCTCAAGCTGCAAATGTAGCAGCACCACAACTGGTCACGCACTCAACATGTCCAGGCCGAACCTCAAGCAAGAAGATCAATCCCACAAGAATGGACGAAGGGGTTCCGGGTCACTTTGGAAACGGTACGTTCCTTTGTCTGGTTGAAAGACAATCTCGCTCTCTTCCTCAACCTGCTCCTGAAGCTGCGCGCCATGAACCGATCTCCGGTGTGTTTTTCAGCTCCAGATTTGCGTGCCAAGAGCAAGCGGGAGCTCACAACGGATCCAAATCCCCCACCATGGTCGTGCGTGTCGCCAGGGGTGAACTACATGGGTCGTTGTGGCCGAAAGCTGTGCCCTTCCCAAAAACATGGCCTTACTGTATTCCAAGTAGGCTTCGGCGATGGGAGCCCTTTCCGGCCCAACGAGCAACAGTGCTGGGGTGAGATCAGATGTCATGGATGCAAGTCGACCTTTGAACCGGAGTTCTACTTATTCAATCAGTGCTCTGCAAAAATTAACTTTTGCTTTGAACGAGGGACGCCGGATCAACTTTTGCTTTCCACCGATGCCGAGCTCGAAGCCCAACAATTTGGAAAGTGGGGACGGCGAGTTGTTTATTCCATGCTTTCAATTGAGGTAGAGAGACCTGGCTACTTTCCTGATGTTGATTCCTTGGACAAGGTCAATATCCTGGATAGCATTAATCCTGCATTCCAGTTTATGAAACCCATTGACGCACAAAAACCACCTGGTCACATGAACCCACAGGATATTTTCTACATCCAGGACAGTATAGCCAGCCGTTTCCAGTGTGGCCGCAGTGTTCGGGACACTATGCAGAGGTTGATGACAGGCACATTGAGTCCGTCGCAGATTCCAGCAATTCGTGTTTTCAAGATGAAGGGCAAGTGGCACACGGAGGACAACCGACGTTTGTGGGCATTCAAAGAAGCCGGTCTCACGTCCGTGCCAGTGAAGGAAACCAGCGAAAGCTATGTGGACTCAAGGAAGTTCACTACAATGAACGGAGGAGTCAGAGTGCGTATGCGGGGGTAGTGAGTGCTTGAAGGCACACCCACTATTAATGGTACTATGGTCTTGAGATGAGTTGAGTTCAGTCGGACGCTAGAAGCAATGCACAGCTCATTGCAACCCTGGTGCATCCGTAGCTTTTTGCAAGGAAAGGCAAAGAAGGGCATAGAAAGGCAGTCCTTTCTCAGAGACCAAACATACGGTTGTGTTTTTCATTGGATTGCATGTGTTCTCTTGGTGCATCCCCTTTTGTGTTGTCGAGAACAAGTCATCCTTGCGAAAAATCTAAGGCTCCGGAGTTTTCAGGCTTGTATATGTTTTTTTCACGAAGCAAGCATTCCCGTCGAGCTTGCTTTGGTTTTTAGGCGCAGATGGCACTGAAGCTTGGATTTTTTTGTACATGGAACCTGCAGATTGGACCCTGCGGAAGCAACTTGATAGAAGGTTGCTAGTGTGAGGGTTCAGATGCGTGATTGGCTGTCCGTGAAGCTGCACATTGTGGTGATAACCCCCAAAAATAATGATTGAAAAAAACATGTTCAGAATATGTCTCCTTATGGACGCTGGGATGTTGCAATGACTTTGGTCATCATCAGCCAGGCGCACTGCTTTCACATGTTCAAACCCACAGGAAGCGCTGGACTATACCGTGCTAAAACAGTGCTGCTTCCGTTCGCTGCCACTCTCAAGTGTCAGATGCCAGGCGATCAGGCGTTTGTAACAATCAAACAAGGTCCTTTACACTATGAACAGCCATTTGTTCTGCAAATTGTGGCAACGAAAACTAGGTCATTTAAGCTCAATATCTAAAAGCATTGTTTGGAAAGACCTCAGTGTGATACTTTTTTGGCCTCGCCGTGACCCACAAGACCTTAATTCTTCGGTGCTAAAACCCGTTTTGGCGTTGAACACGTCCCAGGAGTACATCGCTTTGATAGACGGCCCAGGTGGCTGGCAAACACCTTGGACCCGCACGCGGCGGTGCGGCCTCTGTTGGTCAAGTCAATTGTGGGCTAGCGGGACGCGCGGCACCTGTGGGAAGCAGAAAGCATCCGGCAATGGACACGGGAGGGGGGATTGGTGGTTGCAAGACCTGGACTTGTTCAAGACCTGGAGGACCACAGTGGGAAACTGTTGGGACAGATTGGCTAAAGGATGACAATGTCCATGGAGCATTGATTCTATCGTGCGTAAGTCCAAGCTGGGATTTCTTTTGCCTCACCGAGACAGTAACTGTGGAGCTTTCAGGAGGCGTGGAGCATGCAATAGGGACTCGAAGCTCGACATCTTTGCTCCTATCCCCACACCCAACACTGTGATCCATATTCTTTGAGCCAACCAAACCATGCGTACATGTTAGTGTATTTTAATGTCAATGACAAACAAAAACTTGTTGGCTTAACCGGAGTGTACACCTAGATTCACCACACACCAGACCCCAAATCCAAAGCAGAAGATAATCAGAAGATATAATTGCTTCCAACTTATGAGGACGCTTTACAAGTATACAGTATACCTGCAGTGTTGTCATTTTGCGTAAACTGTTGGGACCACACTGGATTTGGTTTTACCAAAACACACAGAGGGCCCACGCAGCTGCGGTGATTTCAGATTCATGTCCGACGCTTGGTCACGCAGGGGCGGCCCTCTTCCTTACTTCGAATGACTCATGAACTACCCCGCCTGGGAGTCATAATCTGACATCTAACACTAGTCTTAGGGGTAACATGGTTTTTTTGGACTCTCAGGGTTAGTCCCACCATTCACCAAGACATCCACTCTCCCAGGGTCCCTCAATGCCCACTACACAAAACCGGGAAACGCGTCAGGTGCAGTTCGCCAGCGGCGTAGCAGTGCCAGCGAGTGTGCGCCATGCCACAAAGGGATTGAGGAGTTGTGCGCTCTCGCAGGAAACCAACACAATTCTTCACTCCCAGTTCGTGTGTTCATGAATTATGTAAAACATGGATTTGTGTTGGTTTGGTGTTGAGCATGTAAGATATGAACGATTGGATATGTCCCAGTGGAGCAGGATCGCTCGTGACAGTGACCCTTTATTTGCCCCTAAGCCAATAGGCACAATATGAAGTTCAAAGCTCAACTCTTGAAACCTGATCCACCTCACGTGGGAGGCAGGCTGAATCTAGTTTTGGCTTCGTGTAGCAACAGTCCACAGCCAAGGCAGGAAGTGCTCATGCACTTGGGTGAGGAGCCGGAGGAGGCAGGAAGAGTGCGGGAGAGTGGGTAAATGAGAAGCAATGATTGATTTGTTGTTTTTCGTAGATGGGTGTTAGTTAGTGATGTTTCTTTTCATGATTTTGTATTGCTTTGTGATTAGCGATTAGCAACAAGACTCGATCTTTCGACGTGGGAGGTGTCAGAATTTGTCCTTTCGTGTCTCTCAAAAGGGTCACGTTGATTGAGTATGTCCCACTGCCATACGGATCACTACTGATTGACATGAACTTGTTTGACATATTTTGACATAGTTACTATACTATGACTTTAGTGTTAATTGTTAGTGTGGTTAGACTGTACTCGTAGCGTCAGGCAAGCTACGTTACAGTACTTGATCTTGCACGCTTTGGCCAGGGCAACCGCTTATCCTGTCAACTCTCTGACATATTGTTTTAAAGTTCTGTGGAAGCTTTGGTTCCGAGGTCCATTCTTTATTGGCTTTCTAGTCATTTGTTGGATTTCGCACCTTTTGCATAAGAGGGCCCCCACTGCTGTGCCAGGCGAGTGTAGAATCTGCGCTGAGATCAGCAATGCAAGTGCCTTGCCAGAAAGACATCGAGTTTTTACTTATTGTTTGGCCGGGCTGAATGCCCTATTGGAAACCGATAAGCGAATAACTAGAGAGAATTACTGAAGGTTACGGGTGTGTTGTGACTTGTATCACCGATCCATTCTTCATGGATTGCGTAGGATTAGATGTGATCACCTTGCCCCTACAGATCCGCCGACCCTTCAGGCCGGTACTTTGACAGACGGCTTGGTATTTGGGTGGACAGTCCCGACAGGTTGGCTGTTTCTTGGAGTGCACAGTGCACAACCCATATACTACAACAACTACTACAACATACCCCACCAGTTCATTGCCCCCTTGCCGCATGGCTTCAGCCAGGATTGCACTCCTGCTTGCTAATCACTCGAATACCTATTCTTGGTCATCCCTCGCATCACGCTTCAATCGATGCGTCGGATGTGGATGCTTGCTTTCCTCAAAGTGGGGTCCGTCATGCAGTTGTTCCTTTTTGTGGTTGGGTGTCCTATTGGAGATGAAGTGGTGGAAGAGTATGAGTAAGACGTGAAATTGGGTTTAGCGACAAGCATTCGAGCAAGAGATGTCTACACTCGTCTTCTTGGATGTGAAGCAATCTGGACAATTTGAGCGCGTCAAGTGAGCAACCTCTTCAGAAATACATGTTTGTCACCACCTTTTCCACCATCGTTGCGCTCAGCACCTTTATGTCATGAAGTCCGAAGAGACCTTCCTTTATGCCGTGCCCACCTTGGCTTCAAGGCCAAAGACACGGACATCCTCGCAGCCGTGAGCTTCCGACATGGCTGTCGCCTGGCAGAGAGGTCTAACCAACTCATTACTGTATTTCATAGGCTTTACGTATAGGAACTGGGAGTGTTCTTGTTAGGAAGGCAGGATTACCCAAGGATTATATACTTGGTAATGTTCAGTCCCCAAATCCAGAAGATTTTTCAGAGACCCATTCCAGTAGAGTACCGTCAACATAAGCCTGTGAACTGTCCTTTGTATCGATCCGGGTCAATACCCTAGCTACCAGGGTCCCGGCCGAGCCGCTTTGTAGTCAGCCTTTAGCCGCTGCTCACAGGTCCTGCCGAGCAGCGACCGGGTGTTTGGCGCGCCATGCTCGGACCGACCAGGAGATTTCGGTCCGGGCCGCTTTCAATAGGACCAGGTGTTGAACGGTTTTTTCTTTTGGAGTCAGAACCCAACATTCTTCATTTATGGAAAAATCATGGATCGGGATTCCCAACGTAGTGGCTTGCATGTATACTTCTTGTGACCCAGGGACACGACCCAGAAGCGAGGTCCAGTGGAGGTTTGTCATCCCCCCAAAAGAAGCTTTGGCACAAGAGATGCATGGTGAGAGAGAACTCTGGTGCGTCATCACAATGTGCCTTTGCCTGCGCCTGAAAAAAGGGGTTGTTCAATAGAGACCCACAAGTTGTGGAAGTAGTGTGGGTTATTCCATTGGTGTCCCCTTGGAAGGAAGGTGCTGCGTTTCGCTCTTGGCTTCATGACTTCATACAACTTGTTATTTGTGTCGGACAGTCTTTGCATGTGGAAAGATTCCAAAACGTCTTCCGGCGACGAATACAGTCTGTTCATGTCCGTTCGATGTGAGTTGGTGATGTTCGTGGACGAAGTTGCTCAGGAGTCTACGATGTTTGCGCCAGAGCCGAAAGAAATCTGAAAGAGTCTAAGAATTCCGAGTGGATCAAGGGGTCTGAGTGGATCCATCAAGCATCATCAAACCATGGGTCGTATCATGAATCCATCCAAACTTCATGTCACGAAAAACCATCATATCGGAGTCCTTCCAACCATCACCAAGCATCAAGTCTGGATCGATTGCAATGCTTTTTCACATCGAAATCGGCCTTCGTCATAGACTCACTCACTGCTCACCTGCCGCTTCCGCACAAGGACGGTGGAAGACGAGCAAACTCTCAGAGAGAGGCCCGATTTGTGGTGATCATGTTGGACTTGAGGCGGAAAAAAAACAGGTTGGACTTGAGGCGGTTGGCCAAACAGTTGGGGAGACCCCAATACCGTGATGTTTGTTTGATGTTTTTGTGTTTTTCAATGTTGTTTTGGTGACTCTTTGATAGGACAGTGTGTTTTCTCAGCGCTTTCAGATCAGAATCTTCATTGATGCTCACCGCTGAGTTGCTGTTCGATTTCAGTGCTGAAATTTCACGATCTCCAAGTAAGCCTTCGACATCCTGGGCAGGTGCCTCAAAAAAGCACATGCCCCAGAGTATGGGCAGAGTTCAGCCACACCAACAGCTGAAGAGTTTTTGCCACCACTGTTCTGGTAACAATAGAGAGTTCTCTTTGCTTGGTTGAGATCCATCTCCAGTGCGTGTCCACCATTAGGCATCCTCATTGGACATCTTCCAACGAAAACCTCTAAAATTAACGACAATAGTCCTTCCTAAATAAGCGTGGTAGAAAACCCCTGAACATTAAATAACGACTTTTGGAAGATCAATGTACACTTGTTTGAGATCTTCATTCTCCTAGGTTTCAAGTTAACTTAACACGTGGAGGTAGTACTTGGTTTGGTGATGGCTGCCCGGAATCGCATGGCTAATAGTAGCTAGTAGAGTGGCTATATGTCTTTCCCAAACAGACTTAATTGGTTCAGGGGAGTTTTTGATGGTCTCCAACTTTAAATCACAGAAATCTGCAACTATGGGCGCTGATGGTCGCAAGCACTCAGTCCTGACTCACCCAACATATCTCAACAGCCAGTTTGTTTCAGCCTTGTGTTCTGTTACTGCAGTGGTTTCAGAGTGGATGGCACAATCCCCAAAAGGTGGTTTATATATGGACCATCTGATCTACTCTGAAACCACTATATATGTTTGTTTGAGCCCTCTTGGGACACGCCTGGTTCCAGTGGCTTGTGGCTTCGATTTCCACTCGAGGCGCTGGGCCTACGAGGAGCTGAGATCGAAGGCGAGAGCCAAGGGGGTCTTCGGTGAGACCATCTACTGGAGCTCTACTGTGGTTGCCACTGTTCATGGATTCATGGATGTAAAACACCAGGATTTCTGGCCCACCATGTGCTTTTAATGGGGGCTTTACCAGATTTGACCGAAGAACTATTGTTTCACTAAGGACAAATGTTATTATTTCATATGGTTTCTCATATGTTGTCTAAAGAACCTGGACATATATGGCTTTGGGTCAGAGCCGTGAGAGATGTGCCATATGATGGTCAGAGTCTGTCACGACGTATGCAGATGTGAAAGAGATTGGAGGTAGCATGGGTTGCCGCCGTGACAAGGCTTTGGTTTCTCTCTCTCTCTATCTTGAGACTATTTGGGGTAGAACCACCTACAGTCATACTGATATTGATACCAATACGGTAGAGTCTTAGAAACCAACCATGCAAGCATTTGACATAAGAAGAGTCAGCAGCGACCGCTTCGGACGTCACTGGCGCGGGTGACCGGGTGACCGGACCCACCTCAACAGAGTGGTGCGACGCGACGTGCCAAGCAGCTGCAAAACGGTTGTGGATGAAGCGCACGACGGTCGACGCTGTTTGCCGTCTCCCGAAGCGTCCGATGGAAGCAATCGATGATTGATCGATGTTATTGGAAAAGGGTTGGATGCCATAGACTATCATAGACTCAAACACTCGCATGTTTCTCAATTATGTGTGTTTGGTTTTCTTCCTATGCCTCGACGGTCCTACATTCTCCAAAAACCGAGACCGTTGGTGAGCTCCTTTTCGTCCAACCGATCCGTGCGCCAGCCAGATGTTGGAAGAGCTCCTTTTGGAGGACCGGACGTGGACGTGGGATGTGTCCAGACCTTGGGGTTGGGGTGACGAACAAAGGATCCTGGCGGAACCAGCTCCCGGTCTCCAGGGATTTTCATAGGAGTGGTCTCCTGTGGTGCAGGCAGTTGTTTATTTTTTTCCGAGGGTTCACTTTCAGATGCGTTTTGAAGTTCAACAGCTTCTGCCTGTGATACACATCCATAAGATACAGCTTCCAGCACAAACTGATCAAATCGATCAAACCGATCGGAGCTCACGATCGGAGTTATTGTTGCAGAGTCATGCAGAGTCTTGATTCATCAAATCTCTTCATGATTGTAAAACCTCTTGAGGCCTTGAGGCCTGTTGTATTAATTGATTCAGAGAGCATCAATTATATACAGGAATCCCCGTCATTTGGGGGGTGAACACCCTGTAGATTTACCCGGTAGTTTCATTCACAAATCCATTGAGATATCCGATATATCCCATGCCCATACCATCCATGGGACGGCAAATATGACCACAACATCCATTCACCACGAAAAACCACCAAATGTCGACCATCTTTGCTGTCCCATGGATCCGGTGGGATACGGACTGTTGAGGTGCTGTCCATGGCACTGACTGTTGGGGACTCTTCACAGATGGTGCAACTCCCACTCTGAAAGGTGTGTTCTTATACTAGGAAATACCTAACAAGAAGCTACTAGGGGCTCCTGGCATCGCTACTAGGAGCAAGGACGCTACGAACGGGGCTCCTGGCCTTTACTACGAACAAGAAGCTACTAGGGTAGCAACCAACACTAGTCACTAGTCAATCCATTATGATCATGTCCAAAGCAGTCCGTTGATCCGGATGCCCTTTGGCTCTGTCCAGCCCAGCGGAGAAAGACCAGCTTCCGCTGACGCCAAGACCAGCGTCCGTTGTACATAAGCTCAGCCGGGACCGGCTCAGCTCGTCCGAAGGCCTCAGCTCCGGTGGTTGGTTTCAACGGCTTGGCGCCACTCACGGAGCAGTCGGTGTTTTGGGGCTTTCTCCCCATTCTTTGGTGGTGGATGCAGCTCATGCTCTACATGATGTGTGCGAAACCTGTGGAACTTCAGAGTGCGAATTACCCTGAGGCTCCAACCATCTCCTGAGAAGGTGGTTGGGGTGGGTGCCAGGGGGGTCTAACCGTCTAACCACCTTCTCAGGACATGGGACAGGAGCCCATTCCCACCGAACTGGCTGTTTGCCAAACATCAGTCTTCCCGGCGCTGAAAAGGCCCAGGCCCAGTCTACGAGCGAGACCTTTGGGGTACCGGAGCATGTGTGTGTGTGTTTGTGTGTCCCTGGAGAGTCCAGTCATGACTCATTTTACCTATGGTGGATTATAATGGATTATACATAACTCCCAGGTGGGGTAAAAAGTGTGTGTTTTTTCCAGCCAAATGGAGCGATCTAGTTGCACCATGACTGCTGGGAATAGATGCTCACCAGGAAGTCTTAAAATAAGAAAACAAACAAAACATGGGGGCATCTCAGCTGGATACTCTTCGGCTGGATACTCATGCACCAAGAGATGGAGCTACTACCTCATGGGGGTGGTGGATTTTTTTCGGGTGAAGATGATCCGGAATTTTTCCTTTCGGGTCATTTGCATGGAGTAAATTATTGTATCTATATAAATGTATGTAACTATACTGTATAACTATTAATTTCCCTACATGGTCTGAGAGAGCTGTCAATTTTGTCCGGCATTTGCGAGGCCCGAGATGTTGATCGTAGCCGTCCAGCCTGGCCTGACCCGTCCGATCGTCTGACATCATCCAACACATTCCAACACCTTCTTCTCAAGAAACCATGTGCTTCCAATTGTCACAGTTGCTTTGCAATCTCCTAATTTGAGCTGACTGGCTCTTCTTGGAAAAGACATTTGTATGAATAAGGAGCTGTGTTGCTGAGTGCCTCAACAAATCTCATGCCGAGGAGCTTGAGATACTCACACGTGTGAGGGAATATGTTGGAACCAGTGTTGGAGCCTCCCATATTTAATAGATTCTACAATTAATGGCATTTCTACAACCAATGATGTGCATATTGTTTCCATATATTGCCGCAGCCAGGATGAGATTGAATATGGTATGATTGGCTGCTGGAATCGTCTTGTACCTCTTGCTTCCCACATTGCTTGTGCAGGGCGCGCTTTGCATATTTGCAGCATGTGATCTCAACATACACTGGCTGAGCTCAAGGGTAGGCACACCGCGCGGCGGCATGTCACAGCCACTTCGGGGAAGTGTGCGTCACTTAATCACTTCCTGGCTTGGTCATTTCATTTGCCATCACTTTGGCCCCCGCGCTGCTTTATCTTTTCACGTGGGCGCGCGTCAGAGTCGTCACATCAACTCATCATCATACACTCTATTTTGGTTGGCTCCTTGATACTCCATGTTAACTTCAACCGTCAGCTTCAGATTGCCCAGGCTGCTCTAGTGTTGCTCTGTGTTCCTCCAAACACTTCACTCACACTCCACTTGTCTGACCTTGTCCTTTCGAGATTCGAATCGACTGGGTTGGCATTGCTGTCAACTTTCGCAACCGTATCAAACCTTGTTTTTGTCAGCCAGCTTGTCTCAGATCGACACATTTGCTGAGCTCATTTGGCGTCATCTGACATGCACGCACTTCTAACTTTCATTCACGGTTCCTGACCTCAACTTTCCCGAGGTCAACACAGACCTTGGAATCGATGATCCGACGGGCCATTGGCACTTTGGTGGCAGTGTGGATGCGTTATTTTTCATCTTGGCGACTCTAAACGATGAAGAAACCCTTTGGAAGAAGATTCCGCAAACTGAGCATTGCTACCAAAAAATACCAAAAATGTATGTACCGAACGATCATTCCTGCAGCATGCTGCTGTTCGTGAAACTTCGCGAGGGGTCCGACTGCCAAGAAAACTGATCACTTGTCAAATCAGTCTCGCAGTGTGAAGTCATTCAGGTTCGGCGGTTTAGTTCACGTTTGTTTCATGTTTTGGCGACCAGGTTCCATCCTTTTGGGCTTTGCTGCAGGCTGTGCTGACGAGTCTTGGATTGAATGCTCGGGTTGTTTGTTCGATCAGTTGGGCACACCTGGGTACACCCTCCTGAAGCAGCGCGTGAAATTGCAGCAGCCAGAGAATTGCAGTGTCTGACCTGCAAAGCCTCAACATCTATACGTATATATTTTATAATTGAATCCGAATCTAGTATGCCAAATTGGGGCAAATCATGATAAATCCTGACTGACGAGTGCCTTGGTGGCTCACAACGTTTCCTTTTGTTCAAAAAGCTGATGGAACAAATCTGGGCAGGGAAATGTTCAACCTATGCCTTCGGATGCCTGAACAAAAATATAAACTAGACTTGAAATCAATACATAAGCGGTACGAGACTTGGAGACACCTTCCATGTATGGAATGGTTATGTATAGTTTACTTGCAATGTGTAAGTAATGGCTCAAACATGGCGTGAACGGTGTGCAACTCTTCCAGTCCATGGTGATTGCTTTTGGGTATCCATACGGACCATCCGAAAGGGACGGTCCGACAGCGACCGTCACACACGCACGGAACCGTGGGAACCTGAACACGAACACGTTGACAATCCATCTGAAGCGAAGGTAACCCTTAAATGAACATGCTGAAATTCGCAACATGGCTCCTGTATATACATGCTTGTAGTGGCCCCTTAAAGGCAACACTCCTGACCAGTGGTGTCCTGCTGGGTTCCGGTCGTTTTCCTTGCGCCGAGGAGCAGTGCGCCGAGGCCCCGCGAGCGTCGAAGGTCAACCAAACGCAGGACTTGGTGGAACGTATACAATTGAAACCTGACCACACGGATTTTTTACCCTTAAGGTGTGTCGAGGTATGCGTTGTTTTCTTTGTGTTTTAACACGACAGAGTCAAATTGTTCCAGAGCTGGTGCTAGTCAGCGCTTCGGGGAACATGGAATGCATTCCCAAGACCAACCCCGGTCGGTGCACCTTCCCCCGACGCCATGGAGGCAGGCTTTGACCTCGAAGCCACGGACGGCGAGGCCGAGACGGCTTGATTTCGGACCGGAAAATCAGGTTTTGGGGCTCTACCTGGGGTGTTAGTGGTGGTTTTGAGAGAGGGGTCCTTCCCCAAAAAGGTCGTGTAAACAGTAAAGACGATGAACAAGAAGAAGGGCTGAAATGATGGACTTTGTGTAAATGTCCTGCAAACAAAAATGGTTAAGAAGAAGAAGAAGACGATGGAAGTCAGTTTCAATCAGTTTCATTATGATTTACAGGATTAGGTTTGGTTAACCCAGGCTTTATGACAACTTCATATAACTATATGTTAGTATTGTAATGAATCCGATTCATATCTCATCATATATTTTGCGTGGCTCAGGCGGTTGGTATAGTTTATTTTTCATTTGGTTCCTATGACCCTGGTGTCTTCCGTTTCGCTTAAGGCAGAGGTTCTGAAAGTGAGCCTTCTGCAGACGAACGTCAAGACGTGGCTCGAAAGTGCAAGGCATTGCGCCAAAGACATTGTGGGCGATTGGTGCCAAAGAAGGGCGGAGTAAAGCTGGAATGGATTTGAATTGGGTAATTAAGGATCCATCTACCTGGTGTTTGGGTGTGAGCTTTGAGCTCGAGTGTCTAATGGATTTGAGCTGGGATGGAGGCCATCATTTTTTCACCGGGATGGATAGGGCCTCTAAAGAATCAAACAAGGATTCCACACTGGATCCTCCCTCATCCCAATTCCATCTCTGAGAGTCCACTTGTTAAGAGGCGAACGAACGGATGATGTACTTGTTTTTTTGGTATAACTCCGACTCGGGGAGATGTCGTTCTGGGATAGCGTTTGAAATGAATTTGGCCCGATGTGGTCCCCTCTCTCTCTCTCTCAGAAATACTTGCGACGTTCATTTCTAACATCACATTGGGGGGAGCATTGTGCCCTACCAATCCGAACTCCTAATCCGAGTCCAAGTGTTTACAGCTCTTTGACAATTCCCTCCCTAGTGTGTTGGTTAATTGTTTGGATGCAAACCGGCTAAAGGTTAAAGATAAAAACTATATCAGTTGAACAATGAACAGCGGTTGGGAGCTGGAAGGTATGCATCTCAGTGCCAAGCCTTGCCAGTCAAACGAAAGAAACACATTTTAAAATTGTTATGTCACCTTTTCAATGCGAGAAGGTCATTTATCATCCTGCCTGCCCATTACTTATGTTTTTACCAAGTGCCAAAGCTCCAAGGCCCACAGTTCCTGCCGCTCGGTGCCAAAAAGAGAGGTGGAGGGCGGTCACAGTGCACACGTCGCAAGAGAGATTGCGTTCTGTAGATCTTGCTGCTGATGGGTTCAGAAGATCAACATTGGGATTTGACTGTCCCATGTTCTTGTTCTGACGTGAGATCTTTGGATGATGAGATGCTGGCAGCGGCCATAGCTTGACTTAAGATCCAAAGCCATGAGAATCATAGGCCATTCATGGCCACTCCCTTTGATTAAGGAACAGAATGTCTGGCACTGCAACCACTCATTGAAATCATCAGGGCTGGAATTGGGCGATCTCGTTGACCCCAACTGATCGGACGCGACCCATCCCCCAACGATCCTTGGAATCGACCCATCCACCAACCACGCCGTTTTCTCGGGCCGTGATAGGCGGCTGTTATGGAGCATGACATAGAGGATGTTATGGAGCATGTACCATCATGCACGATCCTCATGATATTGATATGATATAGATGTACCCATCATTATAGATGTATCCATCCTCACATTGCAACGTTCTTCTCCGGCACATCTCTTGCGGACCGGTCCCACCGAATTTCTCGCCGCCTTTCTCCACTGGTGGAAGGGGATGGGGAAAGCGGCACCAAGGATGATAGCTTCCGACTCTTTCAAGAGAGCGACCGGGATCAGGGCATCTGGGACACTCTGGGAGGACTGCGAGGTGGTTGATGGGACACTGAGCTGTTTGAGAGCTCTTACACTAGCACTGAAGATGTAGCTTCCATGAAGTGGGATGTAGAGAACAAAAACCTGGTCTTACACAGAAGGTAGACTATAGGTCTGGTCAACACGGTCAACCTTTCATTTGCAGTTGGTTCTTCAGTCGGACTCTAACATCGTCAGACCGATTATTCCAGACATTTCCAGACCGATCGCCAGCTGTCATATCTTTTTCAGAACCGCCAGGAATCCTCCACAAGGCGGAGAAGAACACGGCGGAGATCCAGAAGACGGTTCTGGATAGCATCGTGTGAGGGGGGCCAAGAGCAGCAGCGCCGGAACTCGGTGACCTGACCCCCGAAAGTGGCAGTTTGGGCTGCAAGAGCCAGAGCAAAGCCACTGGGTTGGTCAAAACCAGTTTGTAGCACCGAAAGACATGCGTTTTACTTCGACCATAGAACTCAAAGGACCTGATTACACACATGTCTTGCCTCACAGACAGACAAGAGATTGTATTTGCAACATGACAAACACTGTTTATATAATAGTGAAAACAACATGTTAATGTGCATTTCCACCACAGATTCTGATGACACAACATGTTTCCGGTATATGGAAGGATGTGTGTTTCCGGTATCTGGGCACCCAGACTGGGTTTGGTCCACCAGGAAAAACATATCTTTTAAGGGGATGAATCTTTCACCGCCTGCTGGCCTGCTTGCCAGGTCGCAGACAGACACCGCCCTGGATGATGTGGACCAGGTGGTCCTATGTTCATTGATCATTGTGTCAGAGTTTGTTGGTTGTGAGATTTCGCCTGGCAAGTTTTGACCTCCTTCACCCAAGATCATCATTTCATATCAACCCACGAAGCCGAAGAGGACCTGTTGTGGGAAGAAGTTCATGCCTTTTCGATTTGAGAGACCCTTGTACGGTTCAATTGTTGTGTGGAAAGTTGTTTGTTTTCCGCGCAGCACAACTATTAGATCAACGCTGCGAGTCAGAGACCTACTCTCCACTATCAGATGTCATCCACTGTACAGCAGGTGTTCATTTACCCGAGACCCCAAGAGTTCCAGGGTTCTCGGTTGCTTCCCTCATCGCTTGAGCTCGCCCCTCTCGCTCGCCTTGCAGCGCCGAATGTCCGCTGAACAGCTCAGCTGATCTGCTCGCGTCGTCCAGGTGATCAATAAATATGCGGCCGACGCGGAGGCGAGCGGCGGTTTGCCTAGCTGTGCAGGGTCTGGACACTGGCGGAGAAGCCCAGCGGTTGTTCGGTTCGCTAGCCAAAGGGGTTGATGGGAGGCAGCATGAGTCAATGATGTGTCAGTATTTTTGTGACATCACCATTAGCCGCTTTTGAGAGGGACGGTGGTTTTCTCCTTTCGAGGTCTAGTTGGGAAGGTTGGAAGGTGGATTCGTAGATGGCTGGTTTGTTCATGTCGCCCTTTGGAGCGAAGTTGAAGTCCTGCTGTTGCCTGTAGGAGGCGGAGATGAAGTTTGTGCAGAAGGCGAATGCCTCCATCACAGATCAAGTCCAGCTTATCAAGAAGAAGGCTCGAGGGCAGACTGCTTCTTTGCTTGTTCTTGGGTCGTTTTGCTGGTTAGAGCAGGGGCGATGCTGATCATTGTTATGAACAAAGGACGGGCGGTTCCATCTGTCCAAAGGACTGGGCCGGCTTTCAGAACCCCCCAATCGGAAGTGATCGAACCTTAGTCGGAAGTCTATCACTGGAGGATTCAGCCTTTCTGCAGCCAGCAGGGTTTGTCCACTCAACGAGCCCCAAACCCTTCCAGGTGGCCTCTGTGATGGACAAGGCACGCGCCAAGAGCTGAGCTGCCTCCGAGAGAAGCCCAGACCGCGGCTGTTAGAATGTTAGGATATGGGATTTTGATATACCTTGTGTGGACATCATCTGGACACATTTGAGGTTCTTCTTTGGGATCGTTCATATTAGCAGGTCCTGGGAATTCAAGTATTTGGGGCCTCGTCTTCTACGGGAGAGATTCAATCACGAACCGTCATCATCTTCATATCCATACGGTTTCTGTTGCCTGGCATCGCCTGGGCGGCCCACAGAGCCCTGTGCACCGAGGCCTTCTGGCGGAATTCCAAGCAGCAGGCGGCCAGCGGTCGCTGATTCGGCCATGGTGACCTCATAAGCAAGTGCGATGGTATGTTTGAATTGGTTGTTTGATTTTTGGTTCTATAGGAAGAAGATGGTTTAATAGTAAGGGCTCCGCCCTGGTGCCGCCGACCCCTTTTCTCGGGGCACGAGCTGGAAGACCAGAAGCCGGACAGGGATTGCTATAAGCATACACCGGCTATGTGCTCAAGACTCTGTATTCTTGATTCCTTTTACCCGGGCTTAGGCTACACTACGGACGCGCCAGTGTATGCACAGTCCTTGTCAGGAAAGCTGAGATGAGCTGTGTGCCTGAAACCTTGACATATCACACTGGTGGTGCTTGCTGCCGGCGGCGCTGCTATAACCATACACCGGCTATTTCCTCAAGACACTCTATTCTTGACACCTTTTACCAGTGCTTATCCTACACTACGGACGCCCTAGTGTATGCACAGTCCTTGTGATGCTTACCCCTCGTTCCGGCTGAAGGCATAGATAAGCGGGGGGTAAATCGACCCCCCAGATTTGCCATAACCATAAGCCGGCTATTTCCTCAAGACACTCCACTCCTCATACCTTTTACCAGTGCTTAGCCTACACTACGGACGCCCTAGTGTATGCGCAGTCCGTATGAGGTCAGAAATGCTTACCCCTCTTTCCGACTCAAGGCATACAAAAGCGGGGGTAAATTTCCCCCCCCGATTTGCGGAGCACGGAGGCAGGCCTGCCAGCTGCCGAGAAGGGTTTGGGGGCGGAGCCCGTGGGTCTCTAACGTTGCCTTCGGAAGCCCATAGAAAAAGCTT